TAGTTTACAAATCCTAAGAATGACTGGCGAGGCAGCTTAAGAGCCAATACTGTGACAGCCAAGACATATACAAGGAAACGCTTAAAGAAGAAAACTGAGGAAGGTAGCAACTTTCAAGAGTAAGTGTTCAATGTGAATGGGTCTGGGTTATTTTGCAAAAAAAAAAAAAAAAAAAAAAAAAAAAAAAAAAAAAAAAAAAAAAAAAAAAAAAAAAAAGTGTGCCAGCAAGCTCATTCTTATCCAATGAAGAGAAGACTGCACCTGATTTCAAGGCAGCTAAAGCAAAATTAACTCCTTGTGGATGGCAATAGAGCTGGCAATTTTAAACTTTAGCCACGCCTTGAATATCATTCAGAAACACCAAGGCTTTTAAAGGCCGAGTTAAATCCCAGCTTCCCATCAGCTGGCAATCTAACTGAAACTTGGATTACCATTTTTGAATGGTTCAAGAATCATTTCTGTCAAGTAGTCAAAAAATACTGAAAGGAAAACAATCTGGCTAAAAAGGCCAGAATAAGTCAGGGTGGAATTTCTTCCCAAAAATACCACATATGTGATACAGCCTACACACCAAGGCGTTATATAAACTTGAAGGCATACTACATGCATCGGACAATGCAGCAGATTGAAGGAAAAATAGATAAGGACGTGCAAACAATACCAGAGTTCTAGCAGTTATGCACTGTATGTCATGAATGCCATTCACAACAGTAATGTGGCATTGAAGAAAGTGACAGGCTACATTACATTAAATACATGCTGTGGAAAAATGTGGAAAGAATGCAAGAATGACTTCACTGATTTTTAAGTTGCTAAATGATATCCATCAGCTGATCATCAAACTTGCCAGGGATGATGGATTTCATGAAGTGGATCAGGCTCATGTGCTGGAAGTGTTGGACTCTCATGGTGAAGACCTAACAAATGAGGAATTGGTTCAGCTAAGGAACTAGTTTCAGTTGAAAAGGGATGATGGTACTCACCTAGTTGTACTTGTGAGGATGAGCTGCAGCTCTTGGGTCTCGCCTCTCAACCCTTAATCGATTGATGTATAGATTTCAGAACCTACTGGGCTCTGTCATATCTACAGTTAAAGCTGCAAATAAGAGTTTGCCTCCACCACTTCAAAGTTCCATCACTTCTAAAGTCTTAATGGCTTATTTTGATAAATAAATAATAAACTGTACCCCCCCCCACCCATTGTTCATGTACCTCCCATGCTAATGGTCTGCCTTGTTTCTTTCCCTGAATATTTTGTATGTGAACATACCTACCCCATCTCTCCTTCTCTTCCAGTGACACGAGGTTTAACTCCTTTATCCTTTAGTTTTTTTTCTCAACTCATACCTTCCAGCCTGTGGATTAGTTTGGTGGCACACCTCTGGACTTTCTCTAGTTTCATTTTCTGTGTAATGACATGAGGGTTTCATGCTGGTGTCGTGTATTCCAGAAGTGGTGTGACAATTTGTATACAAGGTCCTGAACGACTCTTTGTTCAGATTCCATATGGAATTGTTGATATTCGTACGATGTAGGCTTCTGGTGACTATACTAGACCAATATATAAATTCTGATTCTCAAGATTCCCCAAGTCTACTCCTATGTAGTACCTTGTGTATAACTTCATGTCCCTAGCACCAAATTTCATTATTTTGCAATATATTTGGCATTGGTCTTCTGGTAGGTTAGGATAAGGATACCTTAGTGTGACAGTTTCTTGACATTGGGAAATCTTAGGAGGACGGGCTGAATAGGTAACAGATTTACTAGTAACTAGAGCTTGAGTTAAGCACTAGTAGGCACTTGAGGGACCATTCTTTCCTTGTGCCCAGGTCATTCTGTATTTTTTTTTATTTCTTCTCATAATTCTGCATCCTCAGCAAACACTGAGAACAAATCTATCCCCTCAGTAAGATGCTTGCAAAGATTAGGTATAGTAATAACCACAGAACTGACCAGTACTGCAGGATGTCACTGGTAACATGCTACTCTGAGGTCTATCTTTTCACTGTGACACGCTAGAGCACATTCCATTACTATTTTTTTTCTACATTTTATGCACAGTACCCCTGTGGCATACTGTGCCAAAGGTGTTCTGACAATCCAAACACCCTTCTCTATCTTGTATGATCTACATTGCCCAGACATAGAACTAAGAAGTTTGTGAGACAGGGTTTGCCATACCAGAAGCCATGCTAGTAATGAGTTAAAGACATAAGGAAAAGTCCCATAATGTGTGACATAATAGGGAAGAGCATTGACAAACTATAGGATTCAAATGCCCCAAGTGTGGACTGTTCAATCAAAAATATTAAAGGAACTGGCAGATGAACTATGCCCATTGCTGAAACTCGTTTTCGGAAAAATCTCTGAACCAAGGGATAGTCTCCCCTAGATTGAAAATCTGCTTGTCACTCGTATTTTCCAAAAAGGCAGAAAGAGCTCAGCAAAAATATACTATACAATCAGCCTGACCTCACATATCTGCAAACTAATGAAGAGAATCCCAAAGGGGGGGACTCATTCACCATCACATTGTGAACAATCTAGTAAAATTTACACAACATGGTTTTGTTAAAAATAAATCCTGCCTTACAAACCTGCTCACATTTTTGGAAATGATAACCAGCTATTTAGAAAAAAGGACATCCAACTGATGCGGTACGTATGAGTGCAGTTATCTGAGCTCATAAACCTGCTGAACCGAATACTTGGATTATCCAGACAAAATTGGGTTTGGATAATTTTCTGCCAAACTTCACCATATCCGAACAGAAATTCAGTTAATCGGAAATTAGGTTACAGAAATTTTCAAAAACTATTTGATTTATAGTGAGTGTGGAAATAAGAATTATGGTGGTTGTGGTACCAAAAAGTTGTGAATATGGTAATTTTTGGACTTTCCTGTAAGAATTCTGCCTATCCAAATGTCTAGCTTATCTGATGGAGGAGTCCTCCCTATATAATTAGGATAAGAAAGCTTAAACAGTACATTGACTTCTCGAAAGCTTTTGATAAGGTACCACACATGAAAGAATGGCAAGGAAATTACAATCACATAGAATGAAACCAGCATTGAATTTGATGAAATGTCTATTTCTGGGTTAGCCTCAGTGTCTCCCCTGAAGATACTACTGTATCACTGATAGTGTACCATCTACTAGGTTGCATCAGCCTCAGAGTTCTACTGGCCTCCCAGAAACCAGTACCAGAACCAGAGGCTAAAGGCAAACATAACTAAGTAAAACAGGAGACTGGAACCAGAGCGACCTGAGCTGGTGGCTAGGCAATAGATACATCAGTATAAGAACTGGTGGAGTAGCCAGCTGACCCGGCCTGCCACCCTCCTTCCCCCAAATGAGGGGGAAGAGGTAGGGCAAACTAGCTTGCACTAGTTTCCCAAATTTTCAATCATTTATTTACATTGTTGGGGGGAGGGGGGGAGAAGTTCTTTAGGTGGGTTTAAGGCAAATGTCTTGTTTCTAACCAAGCAATACAGCACAGTAGTCTGTTTTGTTTTGCTGACTTTCTGGGTACCTTCACTTAGTGGCAGCTATGAATACCTTTTATGTAAAGGTTTTCACAGTGCCATCGCTCCATGCACCTTTCTGAGAGGGGGGGGCTAGGTTGTGGCTAGTGGTCCCCCGGTAGGCCAATAAGAACTCTACGACTGATGGCACCTAGTAGTATAACACACTCACTATAGTAGCTTCAGTGAGTTACAAGGGGATCCCCCCAGGAAAGACTTTCTTCAATCATTAAAAAGCCCAGCAAGGAAGAACATATCTTATGCAATGTACAGAGGTGAGCCGACTCAAGAGGAGTCAAACTCGCAGAAGAGGAAACACCCAACCCCCCAGAGCAGATATCTCTGGATGAGATAAAAGGAAATGGAAGCCAACCCTAGGGAAGAGGACCAAGCCATGGTCAAAGTGAAATAGAAGCCAGGATACACACAACATGGATAGCATAAACACAAACATGAAGCATAAAATGTAAAAAACAGGGCAATAACCTCCAGTGAAACACAAGTTCCAAAAAAGCCAAACCCAATGAGCTAAAAGTGAGAAACTGCAGAGCCTGAAGATGGGTGATCCCATCACCCAGACAACTGAGTGAGGGACGTAGAGTGGCTAGGACCTGACCTGCCACCTGGTGGCTGTCAGCTGCATAACAGTTAGGGTGGTTACCCAGCTGCAACAATTATTTTCTGTGTTTATTGTGGGATCACTTTCCATTCAAGCATTTGCTTGTTTTGTTGCATTCTATGCTTTCTGTGGGCTTTTATCCTGGTTTTGGGTTGATCTCTCATTCCCCAGGCTCTCCCTTCACCTCGTAATGCGAACCAGATTCTGGTCCCTGTTTCCGTAATAATGGGGCAGTGCTGTATCAAAGTAGAGGCAACATGAAGGAGAGTAGTGCTGTGATGGTGAGAGCTATTATGATAATGAAGTATCATGAGTGTGAAGCATCTTAATGGCAAAAGGTATCTTGATAGTGAGAGGTAGCATGATAATTAGTGGTAACATAATAATGAAAGATAATGTGAAGGTGAGAGGTACTGTGATGGTGAGATACCAAGGAGCCAAGAGGTACAGTGATATTGGGATATATCAAGATAGTGAACAGTTACATGATAGTCAGAGATACCAAAATTGTGAACTATTGTGATAAGAGGTACTGTGAGAATGAGAAGTACTGTGATGGTGAGATACCGTGGCAGCAGGTACCATAGTGAAAGGAACCCATGATGGTGGCAGGTACCATACTGAAGGAAACCAAGATGGGTTGCAGGTACCATGCTAAAGATGACTATCACACTAACGAGGGGCTTCAAAATGATTGAGACAAAGGACACCTATGTAAGCACCACGTCCAAACATTAGGTATGGCCTGTGAATTATGAAAAATGCTAATTCTAACAATAATATACTCTACAAATTATCCTCTTGGAATATTGTATAAGAAAAACAGACAGTTTTTTTGATGAATATGTTTACCTGCCAAGTTCCCAAGTTGAGTTTGCCTTCTGAGATGGGCAGCGTGAGAGAGGAACCTATGAAACAGGCCTTGACATGGGCTGGCTGAGTTCCACACGATGAGGAAAGAAACCACACAAAATATAATTAGTACACAAGCAATGGAAAACATCGATGTGGTTCCTGATGATATTCCAATACCCCAAAAAACTCTTAAAACTCATATTAACTTGTTTTTCAATTTATAGTAGTTTTGTTATTAAAGTATGAGGAGGAATTTTAACAATTATTAACTCGACAAAAATTGATAGATTTGTCAACAGCTTATTACAGATCAACTAAAGTGATCACAGTTATTTTAACATTATTATGATACACTAAGTGCATGAAAAATAATCTAATATAAACAGCAACAAGTATTCACTATACAATAGCAAAAATAATTTAAAATTAAATATTAATTAAACTTCCCATGACCTATTATTTCCACAGCTATAAGCAACCTTGGGGTTATATCATTATTTTGGACTTAGATTTGTTTCAAGAAACAATCATTATAAACAAAATTATGAAAGGGCTCAAAACACACACACACACACACAGTTGTCGTCAGTTATTGGTAAAATGACTACAACACCCTGGTGGCACAGTGGTAACACACCCGCTTAACATTTCACGAGTGATTTGGCCTAGGTTTGTATCTTGACCAGAGAGGGTTGACTAGGTGTCAATCCATTATTATATGTCTCTGTTCACCCAGCAGTGATTGGGTACCTGGTTGTTAACCCTTAAACTGCTCAGCGTAAGGGGCCGGAAAGCAAAAAATATTCAAATTATGTAAAAAAATTACTTAAAAATGTTAAACACATCTCCAACTTATTGGCTTCAGAACCGTGAAACTTTCATCAAAATATTTTCAGAAATTGATTTTTGACAAATTTTTGAAAAAGAAGAACGTTTTGTTGATAAGAACAACATCTATTAATTGGAACTGATGAATAATGCAGTGATAAAGATATGCAAGCACCTGTCCAATGCATAAAAGAAGAATAGCAGTAAGAAGTGTCCACAAAGTGGATATGCAGCTGGTGCCTTTATAGCATTGCTAAGTAATACATAACAACACAAATAATAATGAGTAAGTATGTTATTATGCTCTTATTTTGTTATGTATCATATAAATATATTGCCCAATGTTAATATCTGTTATTTCATCAATGTCCAAATTTTTTTATGGGATTTTTTTAAATTTTTAGCTTTTTTTTTCTCCTTTGTTTATATCTGATTTTGTTGTAACCTTCACATCCTGGAGAGTGCATGCCAGTCCTCACTATGTGAAGAAACAATGAAACTGGTCAACAAATAAATCAGTCCTAACTCGCAGAACTTGGGACTTTGAATTTGTTTTGGCTGATTTTTTCACAGATTTCAAACAATATTTTCTTTCTCTCTTTAGGTTGTTTTGATGATTAGGGACCGGTTTAGGGTTTTTCACTTATATAAAGTATAAAGTATAAATTTTCACTTATATAAAGTATACCCTAAATATATCCCCTAAATCATTATAATTATCCTCATACAGTGACACCTAGGCTTACGAATGCCCCTATTTACGAACTTTTCGGGTTACAAGCCCAATTTCTTCGTAAAATTTGAATCGGGTTACGAGCTTTGCTTCGGGAAATGATGCTTGTTGATACGCGAATGGCCGACCTAGCGCGTGGTTGCACGGCGATTGCGCCTCAGTTTATTAGTGCCTCCCGCCTAGAGACAACCGCACCTGAATTCTTTGTAAAGAATTACAGTTTTTTTTTTTAATTTTTGGGTATTTGAACATAAAAGTAGTTGTTATATATCTCACCATGGGTCCTATGAAAGCTAGTGGTAAGGTTCAAGCCAAGAAAACACATGTGAGAATGACCATTAAGGAAAAACAAAGAGATCATTCGTAAACATGAAAATCGTACATGGGTTGTTGAGCTAGCTAGGCAGTACAACAAATGTACGTCAACAATATGCACTGTACTTGCTAAGAAAAAGGACATTATGAGTGCTAAAGTGGCCAAATGCGTGTCAACAATCACAAAATAAAAAACGCAAACACTTGATGTTGAAAAGTTGTTATTAATTTGGATACACAACAAGGAATTAGCAAGTGATAGCCTTTCAGAGGCCATCATTTGTGAGAAAGCAAGGCAATTGCACGAAGACCTTTTAAAGATAAACCCTGGAATGAGTGATGCAGACACGAAAAAAGTTTAAGGCAAGCAGGGGATGGTTTGAGAAATTTAGAAAAAGAAGTGGTATTCATAGTGCTGTAAGGCATCGGGCGGCTGCCAGCTTAGACAAACCAGCGGCTGAAAGACTTATTAACGAATTTAAAGATTTGGAAGGGGACTCACCTTCCAAACACTAACACCTTTCCTCCTCCCCCCTCCTCACCGTCTTCCACACACCAACAAGAGTCATCAGTAAAGGTAAGTAATAACGTGTAAATACTTTAGTACTGAAGATTTGGGCAAATTGGGTTTAAAATTTACTTTGAAGTTAATTTTTTTGGCAAGTCTGGAACGGATTAATTCAATTTACATTATTTCTTATGGGGGAAATTCGCTTCAGTTTACGAATATTCGGTTTATGAGTCGTCTCTGGGAATTGATTAAATTCGTAAGCTAAGGTACCACTGTATTTAGTTTTTTGGGAGGATTATTTTTTCTTGATTTCACTTCAACACATATTGAACTACAACTTTCACATATTCGAGTACGAATGCCAAACAATGTCTATTAAAACATACAAGTAAATTTATGAATTAGAACTGCCTTATTCATTGTCGATAACTTCAACTTCAATTATATCTATAACTAGAATTTCAACATACTATATTTCAGTATCCAAAAATCTAGTTTCTGACCGATTCTCACCATTTTTACATATCATGTGCACAGCTGTCTGTTCTACAATCCCTATAGAATTTACATTTCATAAACCTTAAACATTTGGAGTTATAAATTTTTGTTGTCTAAATTTGCGCATATTTCAAATCCCATATTGACTTTTTTTTTTTACAGTAAACTATACAGAAAACCTATATTCTAAATATATGAAAATGAAGATCATATGCTATTCTGAGAGCATAAGAATAATGCTGATGAAATATCACCAAATGAACACTTAGTGATATTTCATACTTTTGCAGCCGATTTCAAAACCTGAAGTTTTCAATATTCAATTTTATAATTATTTTTTATTTTCTTGTTTTTCAAGTTTTGGTATCATTTAGACAAAGTTAGAGCATTTGCCTAGTAGATTATGCACAAAACATTTGAAAGCATTTCAGCAAATTTTAAAAACTGAGCTTATTGTCCTACTTCATACGAAGTTTTGTAGCTTAAGGGTTAAACGATTGGCAGGTCGTATTTCAGGGGAATTAATGGGCAAGGCTTACCATAAGTTATGGGATGGGAAAGCTCTCAGCCTGCTAACAGGAGTTAGATGTCAGCTGTTCCTGTACCCACCTGTGTAAAAATAGAACTCTAGCAGAGTTTAGAAAACTAAATACATCATAATGTCAGGAGACAGGCCGCCAGTGTCTCTTACTGGGCATGTAAATAAGCTTTTCTTACTCTATATCGATTTGAGATTTTAGGGACAAATAGACGCTCACAAGAAAACGGTTGTACTCAAATGGAAGCTCTTACGAACGTTAAAGTCAAAACACAACTCTAGATTCTGTCTATTTGAGCAATTCATGGAACATTATTGCTGCAGCCTACTTTTAACCCTTACATTGCACACCTGTTTTGGCAAAAATTTTATGGTGTAGTTTTAAGAACATATTTTTGTGATTTTTATAAATGATCAGCTAATTTTAATGTCAAAATTTTTCCAAATTCAACCATTTTCATTTTAAATCACAATCAGCGATGAAAACATTAAAAAAATTAAAATATGATTTAATAGAAGACAAAATCATATACTGTACTGTACAGTATACCAAAATTGTATATACACTGTATACAATTTGCGCTGTTTAAGGGTCAGCTCCCCACAACGACGGGGAAGGTGGAGCTGACAGAGGACTGGTTTGACGAAGTTGTTTTTTTTTTCTTGGGAGTTTTTTTTTTTACATTTTGAGGGTGCTGTTCTTATTTTTCAGCCATGTAAAAGTCTGTTTTGATTTACCTATCAGGGTGCTTCCCTGGTTGATGGCAAGATGATAAACTTTATATTTAAATTGTTCACAAGCTATTGGTCCCTAAAGAGGCCAGATTCTGGCTCATGGTCCCTGGTAGGTACCAAGAACTCCACAACTGATGAAACTCAAGTAGTATGGTACTTAATTAGTAAGCTAGCTTCAGGGAGCTGACAGGGCTCCCTCCAGAAAAGATTACTTACAATACCTTGAGGTTACCGTGAGATGATATCAGGGCTTAGCATCCCCGCGGCCCGGTCGTCGACCGGGCCTCCTGGTCAGGAATGACAATAACAGTAATGTATATATGGTATACAAAAATATGAACACTTGCACACAGAATGGTTCCCGATTTGGCCTACTGGCACTGTGTGCCTTAAAAGTTAGCATACAAAAACTGAATAGTGTACTTTGGTTTAATATAATACTGTACATGTATGTACTACAGTATACTATATTAGGCCTAGGTTTGATTAGATTTTTGTTGATCAAAATTTATGTTAGTCATTGATGGGCGAGTCCATAATCTGTACAGTGGAACCTCGGTTTTCATATGCCCGTTCTCGTATTTTTCGGTACTCAAACTCAATTTCTTCAAAAAATTCCATTCGGTACCCGTTGTTTACCTTGGTTTTCGGAGTTTGTTTATACTGTACGTACATGTATGGGTCCACCGCAAGCATGGTGCTTCAGTTTACCAGTGTCTCCCGCCTAATGATGATCGCACTTGAATTCTTTGTGAAGAATTTAATTGTTTTTGTGCTTTTTTGGTTTCTGAACATAAACGTTCATATTATATATCATGCCGTGGGTTCCAAGAAAGTCAGTGGTAATGTTCAACCTAAGAAAATAGTTGTGAGGATGACAATAGAGGAAAAACAAAGAGATCATTCATATTGAGACAATGTGA